ATTTTTATGGCAGAAGCAGTTCCCACCAAAGGTAATGATCAAGTCCTAAGAGTAATTCAGGGAATCCCAGCAGCAGATAAGACAAATTTGTGAACTGCTATGAGACTTTATGCAGTCAGATACACTGATAAGGGATTCTTTGTTAAAAACAGGGCTTTGAAGCTGTGCTCCGGCTCCAGAGCAAGTTCCAGGCAAAAAATTGCAACTCCACTGCTCCGGAGCTGCTCCGCGCTCCAGGCTCCGCTCCAAAGCCCTGGTTAAAAAAAAGCCTCTCTGGCCCCCCCCAACCCTATTTTTGCAAACACTGGTGTCTCAGTCCACCGAGGTAACTGTTACCCCTGCCTGTGCTGGGGTTTTGCCCTCTGTCACAGTCTGGCAGTGCTGCACCCCTGGGCTTAACCCCAGCTCCTCCCCCCCCCCCTGATTTTGCCCCTCAGCCCCTATCCTAACCCTGCCTCCAGATGCTTGACACTCCACCCCACCCCGGCCAGTCAATTTCCACCCCCAGCTCAGACCCTGGCCAACCCCCTTTGCCCCTTTTTAACCCCAGTAAAAAGCAGTCCACACAATCTGATGCCAAGTAAGGGCAGAGTGAAGGGCAGTGGCTTCAGCAGATGTTATTGAGCATTCTCAGTACACCCTAAGTAGCAAATTAAGACAGAGCAGTTTTTCCACACCACACCTCCTTAGGCACCAGCCCAAGGTCTGGCATCCTCCCACCTCGCAGGGTCCTACAGCCTGGCTCCAGCCCGAGCCCAGACATCTACACTGCAATTAAACAGCCCCTTAGCCTGAGCCCTGTGAGCCTGAGTCAGCTGGCATGGGCGAGCTGTGGGTTTTTAATGGTAGTGTCAACATACCCTTGGTGTGTGCAGCACCGGTCACAATGGGGACCCTGATCTTGGTCAGTGTCTGTGCAGGGCCCTGCACAACAGAGGACCTGACCTCAGATGGGGTCTATGTAGTGCCTGGCAAAAGAGAGCTAAATTCCCTCTAAGCTGCCTGGCCGCGCAGCAGCTTATCAAGGGCCGCGCAGCACTCAGGGCTGCGACGGGGAGAGATGCCTCTCCCCCAGCCCCCGGACCTGTCACGGCAGGGAGAGGCAGGAAGAGATGCTCTCCTCCAGTCCCCTAGTTGCAAGGGAGAGGTGCCTCTCGCTCAGCCACAGCCCCAGAACTGCTGCAGCCAGGGAGAGGTGCCTTCCCCCGCCAACCCAGATTCTGCTGAGGGGAGAGAGGGCTGGGGGGAATCTGCACTCCCAGCCAGAGCCCTTACACCCCCTCCCGCCACATCCTCTACCTCTACCCCGGCCCTTCGTCCACTCCCACACTCCAAACCCCTCGGCCCTACCCCCGCCACACATCACTTCCATATTGAGGCACATCACAAAATTCATTCTGCACATGCATGGGAAAAATGAGAGGGAACATTGAAAGAGGGTCTGTGATGTCAGTCGGGGTCTCTGCCATGTGTGGCACAATAGGGACCCTGATCTTGGACCCTGCAGTACCAGGCAGAATGAGGGCCCCAAACTTGGTCAAGGTCTGTCCAGCACCCAGCACACCAGGGGCCCTGAGCTCAGTCCAGGTCAGAGCCATGTTCAGTACGATAGGAGCCCTGACCTCAGTCATGGTTTGTGCCACATTCGTCACAATGGGGATCCAGCTCTTGGTCAGGGTCTGTGCAGAGCCTTCCACAATGGGGGGCCTGATCTCTGTTGAGGTCTGTGCCATCTCCAGCACATCAGAGGCCCAGATCTCTGTCTGGGTTTGTACAGGAAGGGATTGGGGAGAGATACAGGGCCTGATCCGGGAGAGGGGTGGGATTTCAGGCATCAGATTGGGAAGGCCTGGGAGCGGAGGTCATCCTGCAAACTCCAACATGGAGAAAGAGTCAAGCAACAGGTTCCCTCCAAAAATGTAGAAGAAGCTGCAATTATAACCCACGAGGAGCACCTCCAGACCAGTAAGGATTTTTTTCAAATCAGAGCTGGATAATACTATGGGAAATGGTAACATCTGATGTTTGAAATCAGTGTTTAGTAATAAAAAGAACAGGCTGCAAATATGGGGAATTTTAGCATCCTTATCACAAGTTAAGGGAAAATGGGAAAAGTTTGAGGAATTTTCTAGCAGTAGTTGACACAAGGGAAAGAGTTAAAATTTGAATGGATTTCAGGTCAATCTTTGATAGAGACAAAAGGGCAAAATTTGCAAGGGTTTTATATTAATCAATCTTCAAGAAGTTGAGGAATGGCAACACCCAAGGAGGTTTCATGTTCTCCGATAATTAGATGGGAAAATCTCCAGGAATAATAAATCAGTTAGACACCAGGAGAGAAAAATGGACAGATTTTTGAAGAATTTGATATCAATATTTCAGAACTGAGGAGAAAATGGGGCACAAACTAAATATTTGCCAATATAAGAGAGAAGCATCAACATCTGGGGAGATTTTATCTCACCATTCAACAGTTCAAGAGAAAATTAATGATCTAGAGGATGGCGTGGACTGCATTCTCAGCAAGTTTGCAGATGACACTAAACTGGGAGGAGTGGTATGTACGCTGGAGGGTAGGGATAGGATACAGAGGGACCTAGACAAATTAGAGGATTGGGCCAAAAGAAACCTGATGAGGTTCAACAAGGACAAGTGCAGAGTCCTGCACTTAGGACAGAAGAATCCCATTCACTGTTACAGACTAGGGACCGAATGGCTAGGAAGCAGTTCTGCAGAAAAGGACCTAGGGGTTACAGTGGACGAGAAGCTGGATATGAGTCAACAGTGTGCCCTTGTTGCCAAGAAGACTAACAACATTTTGGGCTGTATAAGTAGGAGCATTGCCAGCAGATCGAGGGATGTGATCATTGGTGAGGCCTCATCTGGAGTACTGTGTCCAGTTTTGGGCCCCACACTACAAGGAGGATGTGGAAAAATTGCAAAGAGTCCAGCGGAGGGCAACAAAAATGATTAGGGGGCTGGAGCACATGACTTATGAGGAGAGGCAGAGGGAACTGGGATTGTTTAGTCTGCAGAAGAGAAGAATAAGGGCGGGCGGGGGGGGGGGGGGATTTGATAGCTGCTTTCAACTACCTGAAAGGGGCTTTCAAAGAGGATGGATCTAGACTGTTCTCAGTGGTACCAGATGACAGAACAAGGAATAATGCTCTCAAGTTGCAGGTGGGGGGGATTTAGGTTGGATATTAGGAAAAACTTTTTCACTAGGAGGGTGAAGCATTGGAATGGGTTACCTAGGGAGGTGGTGGAATCTCCTTCCTTAAGTAGGTTTTAAGTCAGACTTGACAAAGCCCT